GCCATCTCAGATTTGGCTGTTTTCCATTTTTTCAACATTGTCAGGCAAGAGGCGGTGAGTAACGCGTAAAAAGTCTTAAGGGTCGGTTAGTAGGGCCATCTCAGATTTGGCTGTTTTCCATTTTTTCAACATTGTCAGGCAAGAGGCGGTGAGTAACGCGTAAAAGTCTTAAGCGTCGGTTAGTAGGGCCATCTCAGATTTGGCTGTTTTCCATCTTTTCAACATTGACAGGCAAGAGGCAGTGAGTAACGCGTAGAATTAGTAATAAGCAATACAGGTCTTGTATAACAAAAATAAAAAATTAAAAAAAAATATTTTTATTAAATTTTTTACAAAATTAAAATTTAATTAATAAAATAAAAAACAAATCTCTTACAAATCTATAAATTTTTGAGTTGTAACCAAATAATTACATCATGTGACGCTAGTACGAGTCTTTTGTCAACATTAGCGGCCAAGTAGCCAAAGAAGCAGTAAGTAGGGCCGTTTCCCGGCAGCTTCACGTGAAGCCAGTACGAGTCTTTTGTCAACATTGGCAGCCAAGAAGCCAGAGACTTCATCACTTAATGGTCAAAAAAGAAGAAAACGCGTAACCAATGGGGGAGGGAAAACGCGTATTGGAAATAAAGGAACCTTACCTACACCCTTTAAAAAGGCAAAACCATAAGTTAAGCCCCTGAACTAACCCCAGAATCGCTATTAAGCCCCTAGACTTTAATTGATGCAATTAAGCCCTTAAACTCTGGGATCAAAGCAATTAAGCCCTTCTTCTTAAGCAATTTATTTTAAAAATTAAAGTCTTAGGGGCGTAATGGCGTAAGAAGAAGGGCTTAATTGCTTTGATCCCAGAGTTCAAGGGTTTAACTGCATCAATTAAAGTATAGGGGCTTAATAGCAATTTTGGGGTTAGTTCAGGGGCTTAACTTATGGTTTTGCCCTTTAAAAACGCGTAGAATTAGTAACAGCTAAGAAAACGTGGAAGGACCTAAAAAGGTCGAAAGTTCAGGAAAAAAAAAAAAGGGGAAAGTTTCAAGAAAAAGAGAATGAAAAAACCCAACACTACCACTGCAGGCTTTGAAAAGGCGTAACGGAAGGGTGTCCTTGAGAGAAACACATCAGACCTGGAATTAAAAAGAAAGAAAAAGAAAAAGAATAAAGGCGAAGTGTAATTATGAGACAAAACAAGAGGGTTCATCTTCCTCCCCGCAAGGCGTAGAATAAAAGCCTGCATGCTTTGATCAGTTTTTAAATTAAGCCAACGTGGATTCTAACTTTAACAAAACCACTCAAAAATAATGTCTCAGTTTTTTAGCCTCTTGACTTGCCCACTTTGCATCGCTTTCCTGCACATCATCCATAGTCTGATTTAATTGGTAGAAAGAACAAAAAAAAAAAAAATTCAATTCTAAAATTTCAAATAAGGAATTTCATAAAATCATTTTAGAAATGAACATATCTGCACAACATCCAGATACGTCG